TAAAACGGGGGGAGGGGGGAGGGGGACGATTGTTGTCTGTCGGTGTGTATGTGGTTTGTGTTACACTCACAGTGTCGTGTATGTATATGCGGTCGTGGTCGGGGGGCGATGCTTGTAGGTGCGCGTGTCATCTCCGGCGCCGGAGACTACTCTGCTGGATCACTTGCGGGACATTGAGGGCCTGACCGGGACCAAAGCGTCGTGTCGCGAGGGCGGGTGCGGAGCGTGCGCGGTGCAAGTTGTCCGTGCTGGCGGCGGGCCTGGGACCGGCTCGATCAACGCCTGCCTCTGCCCGCTGGCCTCGCTCGAGGGCGCCAGCGTGACGACGGTCGAGGGCGTGGGTTCGTCCAAGACTGGACTCCATCCGATCCAAGAGCGGTTGGCGGCCGCCAACGGCTCGCAGTGCGGCTTCTGCACGCCCGGCATGGTCATGGCTGCGTACTCGCTCGTCCAGTCGCTCGACGGGCCGCCGACGCACGCCGATATCGAGCACGCACTCGACGGCAACCTCTGCCGGTGCACCGGCTACCGCGCCATTCTCTCGGCCTTTGGCACGCTTGCCGACGGCAACGAGCCGGTTGACCGCGTCGATCAGCTCGCGCCGAGTGATGGCGACACTGCCGGCCCGCAGCACTTTGTGGCGCCTGCCGGGAGCTCGTGGTACGCACCGACACTGCTGAGCGAGCTGACGGCGGTCGTCGCCGGCCTGCCCTCGCTCGACGGCGTGCGGTTTGTGGGCGGCAACACGTCGCGCGGCGTGTACCACGACATCGACGATGCCTCGGTGGTCTACATCTATCTTCGCCGCATCGCCGACCTGAGCGCGGTGGGCGGGAGCGACGCCGGCCTCGAGCTCGGAGGCGGCACGACGATTGCCCAGCTCATCTCGGCGCTCGACGCGGCGTCGACGCGGTCGCCAACCTCGTTCCCCGCCGCGGTCGAGCATCTCCGCAACATCGCGTCGACCCACGTCCGCAACGCCGCAGGCTGGGCCGGAAACCTGGTTATGGTCCGCGACCGCGGCTTTGCCTCGGACGCTGCTACCGTGCTTGCCGGCCTCGGCGCCGAGCTCGAGCTGTACAACGCTGCGACCGGGGCGACGTCGAAGAGCTCGGTCCTGGACTTTGTTTCGGCTCCGCCGCCAGCCGGCGAGCTTGTCCTTGTCACCAAGCTCATCATCCCGTTTGCGTCCAAGTCCGAGTCGTTCCACTCGTACCGGACCGCCATCCGGCCGGTCAACTCGCACGCCCTCGCCAACGCCGCCTTTTACGCCAAGACTAGCGCCGACGGCACTGTGGAGGCGGCGCGGTTGGTCTTTGGCGCCGTCGGCCCAGCACCGGCTGCACCGGCTGCCGCGGTCGATGCGCTTGTCGGCCACCGATTTGACCAAGGCACACTCGCCGCGGTGATGGCGGCGGTTGAGGCCACGATCGAGGTCGAGCCTGAGCATGCGTACGTGACCGTCGACCAGCCCGACGGCAAGGTCGCGTACCGCAAGGCGCTCCTCGGATCGTTTGTGTACAAGTGGTTTGTCGCCAAGGCAACCGGCGTCGAGCAGCCGCCGCTCCACCGGATCCGCCCGGCGCCGTCGGGCACGCCCGACTACGAGACAGACGGTGCCCACTTGGCGTGTACAAAGCTCTCGGCGCCGCTGCAGGCAACCGGCGAGGCCGTGTATACCGGCGATCTGCCAGCAGGCAAGCGCGACCTCTACGGCGCCTTTGTCATTTCAACCCGCGGCGCGGTCATGCTCGAGGCCGTCGACGTGGAAGCCGGGCTCAAACTGCCCGGCGTCGTCGATGTCATTGTTGCCGCAGACATTCCGGGTGTCAACGACATCGGAACGGTGCCTGGCGAGGACTTGGTGCTCTACGGCGAGCAAGTTCCGTTTGTGGGCGCGCCGGTAGCGTTTGTGGTGGCTGAGACGCAGGCTGCCGCCGACGCCGCCGCGCGCAGGATCCCGGTCTCGTACGGTAGCGCGTATGAGCCGACATGCCTCACGGTCGAGGCCGCCATGGAGGCTGGTCGGTTCTTGCCGGGGACTGACGGTGAGATCTCGCGCGGCGATGCGGCGAGCGCGCTCGAGTCTGCGCCACGCAAGCTCTCCGGCCGGCTTTACGCCGGCTCGCAGATACACTTTTACATGGAGAAGCAGACAGCAGCGGCACTGGTCGATGAGGGCGACCGGATCAAGCTCGTTGCGTCGACGCAGGGCATCGACTACTTGCGGACGCGGGTGGCCGGCGTCCTTGGTGTCTCGCCGGAACAGATCGAAGCGACGTGCCGGCGGTGCGGTGGCGCGTTTGGCGGCAAGGCCACGCGGCCGATTGGGGTCACGTCAGCGGTGGCGGTGGCCGCGACCAAGCTCGGGCGCAACGTCCGGTGCACGCTGCCCATTACGACGGACCAGGCCATGGTCGGCGGACGGTCGCGGTACGTGGCTGACTACACGGTCGGGTTTGATGACGATGGCACCATTGTCGGGCTCACTATCGACGGCGTCGGAGACTCGGGCTGCGCCTACGACTTTATCACCTTTATGACGCACGAGTACGTCGAAGCCCTCGATGACGTGTATTTTATTCCGCACGCCAAGTTTACGGTCAAGGCCGTGAACACGCACACGGCTGCGACAACGCCTGTCCGTGGGCCGGCGCATCCGCAGGCAACCTTTGCCATCGAGTCTGTGCTTGACATTGTGGCGGCGGAGACCGGACTCTCGCCGGACGTCGTTCGCATGCGCAACATGTACACCGCGCAGAACGCCATTGCCATGAACGGCATGTTCATGCGCGGCATGAACGTGGACGAGATGGTGGCCAAGGTCAAGGCTGACGCTGGGTACGACGCGCTCGTGGCCGAGGTGGAGGCGTACAACGCACAGTCCAAGTGGCGCAAGCGCGGCATCTCGGTCCAGGGCACGAAGTACGGGGTGGCGCAGATGGCGGCATCGGGCGCGTCGGCGCTGGTCAACGTCTCGGGCACTGCGACGGTGACGGTCTACCACGCCGGCGCCGAGATCGGGCAGGGTATCAACACCAAGGTGGCGCAGGTGGTGGCCAAGACGCTCGGCTGCCCGCTGGCAGTGATCAAGGTCTGTGACTCGTCGACCGACGCGCTGCCCAACATGATTGTCACCGGCGGCTCGGTGGCGTCGGAGGCGTGTTGCGAGGCGGCCCGACAGGCGTGCCTCGACATCATCGAGCGGACTGCCCATATCAAGGCCGAGTTGTGGCGCAAGGCCGAGGACGGGGCCGAACCAGGCTTTGCCGACATCATTCCCGTGGCCAAGGCCCAGCACGTCTTGCTCTCGGCGTCGGCCAACTTTGTGCCACGCGGGCGACGCGACCGCGGCCCGCGGGGGCGTCCGTGGAATACCGACGGGGTGCAGTACTTTGCCTTTGGCGCCGCGCTCTCGCTCGTTGAGGTCGACATCCTCACCGGCGAGGTCACCATTCTCCGCTCCGATGTGGCCTACGACTGCGGTAACTCCCTCAACCCGCTCATCGACATCGGCCAGGCTGAAGGCGCGTTTGTCATGGGCCTCGGCTCGTACTTTACCGAGGACCGGCTGGTGACGCCGTCGGGCGGCAACGCAGCCGACGGCACCTGGGAGTACAAAGTCCCATCGGTCATGGACGCGCCGGCCCAGTTCAACGTTTCGATCCTCAAGGGCTCTGACTTTGCCTACAACGACGCCGGTGGTGTCAAGGCCGTCGGCGAGCCGCCCATCTCGCTCGCCATGACGGCCCTCTCGGCCGCCCGCTACGCCGTCGAAGCCTCGCGCGTCGAGCGCGGTCTCCCGCGCGGCTTTGACCTCGCCATGCCGTTCACCGTCGACCGCGTCCGCACCGCTGCCGCCGTCACTAACAATGATCTCCAGCTGTGATCAGATCTTGTTTTGCATAACAACATTCGCATGTCCAGCAGGAGAGGGAGGGGGGGGAGAGGGTTGGACGGCGGGCGGCAGGCGGCGGTGGTCGGCGGCACTCAACGCGGACAACACAGAGACGGCGACTCGAGGCGGATGATTGCAGCGAGGCTGGGCGGAGCATTGCAGGGAGCAGCATGGTGCTGCGCGAGCGGACGGAGCATGGCCACGGTGGCCATGAAGTACAGCAGGACGAACCCACCGGGTGGTGGCGGAGCGGGTGAAGCGGCGGCGGAGGGATCAGCAGCAGCGGCGGCGGCGACGGAGGGGTCGGTGGCGGCGCCGCTTGTGATCATGCATGGACTGCTGGGATCGTCGCAAAACTGGCGGGCGCTGACCAAGGCACTGGCCAAGAGTGCGCAGCGGACGGTGTATGCGGTGGATGCGCGAAACCATGGCGGGTCGGAGTGGGTTGGGGAGATGGACTACGTCCGTATGGCTGGCGACGTGGAGGCCTTTGTGGCTGAGGTGGTGGCGGCCGAAGCCGGTCAGGACGTGGCGCCCGTCCTCATCGGACACTCGATGGGCGGCAAGGTGATGATGGAAGCTGCGCTAGGGATGGGCAAGGAAAAGGTTGCCGGGCTGGTGAGCGTGGACATGGCGCCAGTGGCCTTTGATCTGGAGGCCAGGTCCGAGGTCGGCTCGCTGGTCCGTGGCCTGGCGGCCATCGAGCTGAGCGAGTTTGCCACGCGGTCCAAGGTGGATGCCCATGTGGCAACCTTTGCGCACGATCCGGCGGTCCGGGCCTTCCTCATGACGAACATTACCGGCTCTGGCTCCAAGGCTAAGCCGCTCAAGTGGGTTTGCAACATCCAGGACATTGCGGCGTCGCTGGACAAGCTCGGCGCATTTGATGCAGCTGACACACGGAGGTACGATGGGCCTATGCTCTCCATCTTCGGCACCAAGTCAGACTATGTCCGTGCCGAGGCAGCAAAGGACGCGACCCGCAAGTTCTTCCCCAGCGCGCAGTTTGTCGGCCTCGACGCCGGCCACTGGGTCCACGCCGAGCAGCCGAACGCCTTTGTCCGCGCCGTCTGCGGCTGGCTGGACGAGCACAGCTTGTAAAAGAGCACTTTAGTTGGCGTAGATGTTCTCGAGATCGTCTGGATCTGAATCGTCCTCCATGCCGATGACAGATATCTCGCGCGGCGGGGGCGACGTGGTCGGCGATGACGCCAGTGAGCGAGGCGATAGCGGCGGCGACGGCGGATCGGATCTTGGCGGCGTCGAGTTGAAGCCGTAATGTGCCGACATCGAGCCCGGAGAGCCCGAGGCTGACAGCGACTGCAACGGCCTGGGTGGCGTCGACGCCGACTCGCCCGAGGCAAAGCCGAAGCCAGGGAGCGCAGGTGTCGTGGTTGGTGTGCCATCGGAAGCGGGCGCAACACCAGTGTTGAAGCCGGCAAGCTTGGTGGAGGAGGAGCCAAAACCAGAGGTCTGCGACGCGGGTGCGGCAGCCGCATCGCCCTCGGTCTTCTTGCCGAACCCGAACGAAGACTTGGGCGCGGCCGCATCGCCCTCGGTCTTCTTGCCGAACCCGAACGAAGACTTGGGCGCGGCCGCATCGCCCTCGGTCTTCTTGCCGAACCCGAACGAAGACTTGGGTGCGGCCGCATCGCCCTCGGTCTTCTTGCCGAACCCGAACGAAGACTTGGGTGCAGCTGCATCACCCTCGGCCTTCTTGCCGAACCCGAACGAAGTCTTGGGCGCGGCCGCATCACCCTCGGCCTTCTTGCCGAACCCGAACGAAGTCTTGGGTGCAGCTGCATTGCCCTCGGTCTTCTTGCCAAAGCCCGTGCCAAAGCTAGCTGCAGGCTTGGTGGAAGAGCCAAAACCAGAGGTCTGTGGCGCGGGTGAGGCGGCCGCATCGCCCTCGGCCTTCTTGCCAAAGCCCGTGCCAAAGCTAGCTGCAGGCTTGGTGGAGGAGCCAAAACCAGAGGTCTGTGGCGCGGGTGAGGCGGCCGCATCGCCCTCGGTCTTCTTGCCAAAGCCCGTACCAAAGCTAGCTGTAGGCTTGGCGGAGGAGCCAAAACCAGAGGTCTGCGACGCGGGTGCGGCAGCCGCATCGCCCTCGCTCTTCTTGCCGAACCCGAACGAAGTCTTGGGCGCGGCCGCATCACCCTCGGCCTTCTTGCCGAGCCCGAACGAAGTCTTGGGCGTAGCCGCATCGCCCTCGGTCTTCTTGCCAAAGCCCGTACCAAAGCTAGCTGCAGGCTTGGTGGAGGAGCCAAAACCAGAGGTCTGTGGCGCGGGTGAGGCGGCCGCATCGCCCTCGGTCTTCTTGCCAAAGCCCGTACCAAAGCTAGCTGAAGGCTTGGCGGAGGAGCCAAAACCAGAGGTCTGCGACGCGGGTGCGGCAGCCGCATCGCCCTCGCTCTTCTTGCCGAACCCGAACGAAGTCTTGGGCGCGGCCGCATCACCCTCGGCCTTCTTGCCGAGCCCGAACGAAGTCTTGGGCGTAGCCGCATCGCCCTCGGTCTTCTTGCCAAAGCCCGTGCCAAAGCTAGCTGAAGGCTTGGTGGAGGAGCCAAAACCAGAGGTCTGTGGCGCGGGTGAGGCGGCCGCATCACCCTCGGCCTTCTTGCCGAGCCCGAACGAAGTCTTGGGCGCGGCCGCATCGCCCTCGGTCTTCTTGCCAAAGCCCGTACCAAAGCTAGCTGTAGGCTTGGCGGAGGAGCCAAAACCAGAGGTCTGCGACGCGGGTGCGGCAGCCGCATCGCCCTCGGTCTTCTTGCCGAACCCGAACGAAGTCTTGGGCGCGGCCGCATCGCCCTCGGCCTTCTTGCCAAAGCCCGTGCCAAAGCTAGCTGCAGGCTTGGTGGAAGAGCCAAAACCAGAGGTCTGTGGCGCGGGTGAGGCGGCCGCATCACCCTCGGCCTTCTTGCCGAGCCCGAACGAAGTCTTGGGCGCGGCCGCATCGCCCTCGGTCTTCTTGCCAAAGCCCGTACCAAAGCTAGCTGTAGGCTTGGCGGAGGAGCCAAAACCAGAGGTCTGCGACGCGGGTGCAGCAGCCGCATCGCCCTCGCTCTTCTTGCCGAACCCGAACGAAGTCTTGGGCGCGGCCGCATCGCCCTCGGTCTTCTTGCCGAACCCGAACGAAGACTTGGGTGCAGCTGCATCACCCTCGGTCTTCTTGCCAAAGCCCGTGCCAAAGCTAGCTGCAGGCTTGGTGGAGGAGCCAAAACCAGAGGTCTGTGGCGCGGGTGAGGCGGCCGCATCGCCCTCGGTCTTCTTGCCGAACCCGAACGAAGTCTTGGGTGCAGCTGCATTGCCCTCGGTCTTCTTGCCAAAGCCCGTGCCAAAGCTAGCTGCAGGCTTGGTGGAGGAGCCAAAACCAGAGGTCTGTGGCGCGGGTGAGGCGGCCGCATCGCCCTCGGTCTTCTTGCCGAACCCGAACGAAGTCTTGGGTGCAGCTGCATTGCCCTCGGTCTTCTTGCCAAAGCCCGTGCCAAAGCTAGCTGCAGGCTTGGTGGAAGAGCCAAAACCAGAGGTCTGCGACGCGGGCATGTCCTCCGCATCGTTGGACCCGCCATCACTGGAGGTTGAATCCCCCTCGACTTCACCCGACTCAACACCGTCCTTGCCGTCATCATCAGACTCGGGGGCAGAGACTGATGGAGAACCAGTTTCAGCAGGCGCCTCGAAGGCGGTCGCGACTGGCTGGGCCGAGCGCAAGGTCGAAAGATGCGTGCACAGCACCTCGTCGTTGTCCGAATCCGATGCATCATGTACGGCGCCGTCCACTGATGACGCGGCCGAATCCGCCACCACCGGCGCAGCAGGCGCAGCGCCACCTTCTTTGCTGGCCTTCTTGCCCCAGGCCGGCTTACCCAGCGTTGAACCACTTCCAAACACAACACCACCAGACCGGTTGCTAAAACCGCCAAAGGTCCCAGACACACCGGAAGCAATGGTCTTGTTTCCGTCACCATCTAGCGGGGGCACGAGTGAATGCAGCTCGCGCTTCTTGCCAAAGCCCGACGTCGTCGAAAGCTTGACGGGCCCCTTCATCACTCCATCTGGCTTGGCACCAGCGGACTTGCCGCTGCGCTGAAAAGAGAACGACGACGACTTGAACGCAAAGCCCGACCCAGGTTTCTCGGCTGCAGGCGGCGGCGCAGCCGAGACAACACCAAACCGGCCGAGCGGTTTCTCGTTTGCCTTCGAGGCGCTCCCGAACATGACTGTACCATCGTCACTGTCATCGTCGCCGCTAGAAACTGAGCCAATAGACCCATCCTCCACTTGGCCATCTACCCCAGCCGCCAGCGTCCGAGTCGGTGCCACTGCTTCAGGTGTTGCAGCCGAGGATGTGGATTTGTCGGTATCCAACTTGTCAGCATCTGAGCCAACAGTCGCCTCGGCCGCGGGTGCCGTCTCTGCAGGCTTACCCCACGACGCAAATGACTTCTTCTTCTTGGCTGGGTTCGGTGTCGTGCATGTCGTGCACGCCGCGATGCCTTCGGCGTTGTCCATCGTGCACGCCTGGCACTTCCACATTCCATCCGCTGCCTTGGACTCGGCCTCGGCCTTCTTGCCGGCCGCGGCCTTGGCAATCGAAAACGCAGGTGGGCCGCTCGGCTTGGGCGCCGTCGCTGCCTCGGACTTGTTGTCGGCAGGCGCCGCAGCAGGCTTACCCCACGACGCAAATGACTTCTTCTTCTTGGATGGGTTTGGTGTCGTGCATGTCGTGCACGCCGCGATGCCTTCGGCGTTGTCCATCGTGCACGCCTGGCACTTCCACATTCCACCCGCTGCCTTGGACTCGGCCTCGGCCTTCTTGCCGGCCGCGGCCTTGGCAATCGAAAACGCAGGTGGGCCGCTCGGCTTGGGCGCCGTCGCTGCCTCGGACTTGTTGTCGGCAGGCGCCGCAGCAGGCTTACCCCACGACGCAATGACTTCTTCTTCTTGGATGGGTTTGGTGTCGTGCATGTCGTGCACGCCGCGATGCCTTCGGCGTTGTCCATCGTGCACGCCTGACACTTCCACATTCCATCCGCTGCCTTGGACTCGGCCTCGGCCTTCTTGCCGGCCGCGGCCTTGGCAATCGAAAACGCAGGCGGGCCGCCCGGCTTGGGCGCCGAGTCCCCCGTCTTCTTGAAGCCCGAGAGTGAGAACGGCTTGGCACCACTCGTCTTGGAGCCAGCGTTCCCCGTTTTCTTGAAGCCGGAGAGCGAGAACGACTTGGCACTGCTCGGCGTGGCACCAGAGTCGCCCGTCTTCTTAAAACCCGCGAGAGAGAACGGCTTCGGCGAGCTTGACACCGGTGCTCCGAAGGACAAGCTCGATGTCGATGCCGGCTTGGACTCCTCCGCGACATGCTCACCATCAGCGGCGACATCAGCCAGAGAAAGGCTGTCCACAGCAACCACACAGTCATCGTCGTCACTGCCCTCTGGCGTAGCACACGAGTAGACGCTGTCGAGCTCTTCCTCGACAACTTCGGCGATGGCATTGAGCGACTCAGAAAATTGCTCCTCGTTCACAAGACAATCGGACGCCACGCCGCTATCGGAACCGTCATCATCCGAGTCGGTTTGCTCCTCTCCTGGAAGCGGCTCATCACCAGCCTCGTGCGCTGCGTCAACAGTTGACGACTTGCCGAACGAGGATGCGTTCCAGCCCGACGATCCACTCGCAGCCACAATGGGAAGCTTCGGCACCTTGCCTCCCAGGGTGAACTTACTTCCGCTGGGGCTCTTCTTCTGCAGCGGACCAGATGCAGCCGACTTGGGCTTGCTGCCAAATTGGAACGTGGGACTCCCAGCGGTCTTGTCGCCGCCGAGCTTGGCCTTGAAACCGCCAGCCTTGAAGCCGCCAGCCTTGAAGCTGCCAGCCGTGAAGCCACCGACAGCAGGAGCGGGGGCAGGCGATGCTGCGCCATCGGCAGCCTTGTCGCCGCCGATCTTGGCCTTGAAACCGCCAGCCTTGAAGCCACCGACAGCAGGAGCGGGGGCAGGCGATGCTGCGCCATCGGCAGCCTTGTCGCCACCGAGCTTGGCCTTGAAACCGCCAGCCTTGAAGCCGCCAGCCTTGAAGCCTCCAGCCTTGAAGCCACCGACAGCAGGAGCGGGGGCAGGCGATGCTGCGCCATCGGCAGCCTTGTCGCCGCCGAGCTTGGCCTTGAAACCGCCAGCCTTGAAGCCACCTGCAGCAGGAGCGGGCGCAGGCGATGCTGCGCCATCGGCAGCCTTGTCGCCACCGAGCTTGGCCTTGAAACCGCCAGCCTTGAAGCCTCCAGCCTTGAAGCCACCTGCAGCAGGAGCGGGGGCAGGCGATGCTGCGCCATCAGCAGCCTTGTCGCCGCCGAGCTTGGCCTTGAAACCGCCAGCCTTGAAGCCGCCAGCCTTGAAGCCTCCAGCCTTGAAGCCACCTGCAACAGGAGCGGGGACAGGCGATGCTGCGCCATCGGCAGCCTTGTCGCCACCGAGCTTGGCCTTGAAACCGCCAGCCTTGTCGCTACCTGCAGCAGGAGCGGGGGCAGGCGATGCTGCGCCATCAGCAGCCTTGTCGCCACCGAGCTTGGCCTTGAAACCGCCAGCCTTGAAGCCTCCAGCCTTGAAGCCACCTGCAGCAGGAGCGGGGGCAGGCGATGCTGCGCCATCAGCAGCCTTGTCGCCGCCGAGCTTGGCCTTGAAACCGCCAGCCTTGAAACCGCCAGCCTTGTCGCCACCTGCAGCAGGAGCGGGGGCAGGCGATGCTGCGCCATCAGCAGCCTTGTCGCCACCGAGTTTGGCCTTGAAACCGCCAGCCTTGAAGCCGCCAGCCTTGAACCCTCCCACAGCAGGAGCGGGGGCAGGCGATGCTGCGCCATCAGCAGCCTTGTCGCCACCGAGCTTGGCCTTGAAACCGCCAGCCTTGAAGCCACCGACAGCAGGAGCGGGGGCAGGCGATGCTGCGCCATCGGCAGCCTTGTCGCCACCGAGCTTGGCCTTGAAACCGCCAGCCTTGAAGCCGCCAGCCTTGAAGCCTCCCACAGCAGGAGCGGGGGCAGGCGATGCTGCGCCATCAGCAGCCTTGTCGCCACCGAGCTTGGCCTTGAAACCGCCAGCCTTGAAGCCACCGACAGCAGGAGCGGGGGCAGGCGATGCTGCGCCATCGGCAGCCTTGTCGCCACCGAGCTTGGCCTTGAAACCACCAGCCTTGAAGCCGCCAGCCTTGAAGCCACCCGCAGCAGGAGCGGGCGCAGGCGATGCTGCGCCATCGGCAGCCTTGTCGCCACCGAGCTTGGCCTTGAAACCACCAGCCTTGAAGCCACCCACAGCAGGAGCGGGCGCAGGCGATGCTGCGCCATCGGCAGCCTTGTCGCCGTCGAGCTTGGCCTTGAACCCACCAGCAACAGGGGCGACTGCGGCAGCAGCAGACACGCCCTGTCCATCTACACTCTCGCCAAACGCTGCCGCGTTCTGCTGGAGCGCATGCAGCTCGCGCATCCGCTTTTCCATTCGCAGCTGGTACGACGTCGCGGATGCACCGGCGGCCTTTGGCACAGACACAGGCTGCACAGCTTTGCTCGGTGTGCCCTTGGGTGGACTCGCCGCCGCCGCCACTGCCCGCGATGTGCCCTGGTTCCGCGGACGAAGCGGCGAGAATGCCTGCCGTGCGTCCGTGAACAGCGCTCTCGGCGCCTTGGACGCACTCATGGGCACAATGGCATCGGGCGTTGCAGGCGCGCCGCCCAGCTGCCCGAGCTCTTCCTCGACAACCGCTCGCCCGACATGATCTGCTGGCATCTTGCCTAGCGCAACCCGGAGCCAGTGCCGCGCCCGCCCGCGCAGCATGTCCGCCACCTCCCCGGTCTCGTCCTCGACGTCGTCGAGGCACTCGAGCGCAAACATGCCCATGAACTTCTCCACCCCACCGTCCGACGTCGGCGCCCCGGCCCGCGCCTCTTCGGCCGCATGCGCAATCTGCGACGAGCCGAGAATCGGGTGCGCCGCCAGCGCCGCCTCATCGTAATGCTGCTCTAGCGATGCATGCCGCAGATGCAGAATCGTCACCCATGTCGCCAGCTGCTTGTGCGTCACAGGAATGTGCGGGACCACCGTCGATGCAAGCACTTGCCGGTGAGAGAACACAAGCATCAGCACAAAGGTCTCGATGTCAGCAACGCACCCAAAGGCTCCAGCTCCGCCTGCCAGCGGCAGTCGGTCAAACATGTCCTGGAACCATCCGAGACAGATGTACATGTCGTTGACAACGTACCACGCCACTCGCGTCACCAGCGCACGCAAGTCGGCCGGCCCCATCGCCACCACCCGCCAGTCTAGATCTGCAAGGAGGTCTGCGACACGCTCGCTCGCCTCGTCCTCATCCGCCATCTCAAACTCTTCCGTCGCCAACGCCACCGCAAGCTTTCCGATGCTCCACCGCTCGTCGCCACCGGAAACGTCGTCGTGGACCCGAAGCAGATCCAACGCACACCGCCCGGCCGTTGACCGTCGCTCGAAATGCGCCACAGCCATCTCCAGCGCGACCACTTTGGTCGGCTCTACCACGTCCAACTCGCATCCAACCGCCACGCCACGCCAGAAGCACTGCAGCGCCTTGCGGAGCGCACCCACCCGCTCCGCATCGTTGACCCGCCCCGCCTCCTCGGCCTCGATCGCCTCCACCGCAAGCAAATCTGCGTAGAGCAGGTGTACCTTGCCAAACACCACATAAGCCTGCAGCCGGTGTTCGTCCTGGAACTCGGCGCCCTCGCCTGCCTCTACCGCCGCCCGATACGCCCGGCATGCCGCTTGGCACTCGTCCAGCGACGCGTCCTCATCAGCAAGCGCCTCGCTGGCCAGCCGCAGAAGGATCCACAGATGCACATCCACAAGCTTGGCGCCTCCGGCAGCAGCAAGCCGCACTTCGCACGCAGCATCGTCTCCAGTAGCCGCAGCCGCAGCCGCAGCCATGGCACGCGCCGACCAGCCGGCGACCCATCGCCACCAGGTCAGGCTGTGAGCAAACTTGGTCCGCGCGGGGATGACTCTCGCCCAGACCTCGCCTGTGGCATCGGCCGACTCGAGGTAGGCCAGCAGCTTGACCTCGAGCTCGGCGTCATGCGGGTTGTCGTGGACGGCGGTGCGGAGGATGGAGACGACCTGGTCTGCCGCCGGCGGGCCCTGGGCGAGCAACAGGTCGAGTCGAGCGAGTTGGAGCGTCTTCCTGGGCACGCCAAGCTCACAAGCCTTGTCCATCCACGCCTCGGCCTCTTTGACAAACAGCATGGACTTTTCAGCATTAGCCGGGCGGACCTGGCCGGTGGTCACGGCCACCAGAGCAAGGGCGGCTTGTTGGGCCATCTCAGCCTTGCCCGACACCAGGGCTCTTTGGAGGAACTGCTTGGCGTTAAAGTACTCGCCACGCTCCGCGTACGCATGCCCGGCTTGGAGACATGCTGCTGCGTCGTACGGAGACACAGACAGTTGCCGCAGAATCGTAGAAAGCTCCATCCTGCTCCTCTCCAAGCCTCAAGTCTGTGCCCCTCTACCGCTCTCGTCGCACCGTCCGGGATCGCCCGCCCTCGACCCCTCCGCTCTTCTCCTTCTTCGAGTCGCACTGCGAATTTCGCGCCATTTTCGCTCTCACTCGCGCCAAAGCCCAAACTCCGCCATGCCCCCGCCGCCTCATCTACACCACCACCACCACCACCACCACCACTACCCGCTTGATCTGCGCATGGGTACCCGCGTCACACTCGACAATATTTTATCTCCCGTTGCCCGATCCTGATCTGGTGATTCGCGACGGTGGCGCGACCGACGGGCTTGCGCCACTACTGCCCGTCGTGGCTGTGGTATGCGCCGTGGCCAGAGCAGAACCGTGAGGTCGACGACGAGCACCACACAATGAGGTTGTACCGCTCGCCCCACTCGATCGGCCGCGCCGCATGCCGGTGCCGCCCGAGATGTAGCAAGCCGACGCCCGGGGTGTGCGCAACGACCGTCTCCTCGCCATGGGTCGACTCGTCCCAGAGCCAACCACGGAACTCGAGATCGCCACCGCCGAACGAAGCGCCGAGGCAAATGTTAAGCGTCACATCGGCGTTATCGTAGTGGAAGGAGAGATCGCGGTCCTCAGACATGCGGTACTGAACGATGAACGAGTACTGCGAGTCGAGCTCGCCACCGGAAAACTCCGGGTACAGCACACTTGCCAGCGGTGAAATGGCGCAGCTGAGCAGGTCGTCGAGCATAGTGTCGAGCCCGAGCTCGCCGAGGACTAGCCCGAACGCGTTCATCGAGTTGGGCCGCACGCATGGGAGGCCCGTCGCCTCGAAGTTCTCCAGCTCCTCTAGCAAGAGCATGCAAAACGCCGACGAGCACATCGGCATAGAATACAGTCGCGTCTTGTCCGTCAGCACCTTCATAGCCTCGTCGACCGCCGCCTTCTTGGCCTCAGCCTCTTCGGCGCTTTCGATCGCCGCCAGCAACGCCCGCAGCAGCGGCGACAGCATCCACTCGGGATCAAACGTCCACAGGCCTTCGGTGAGCCGGGTGTACTCACTAGCGATGACTTCCACTCGGACGTCGCGCATGGCCTTGGCCAGCGCCAGCGCCTGGGCCACCTTCTCCTCCTCGCTCGGCTCGGCCGTCTCCTCGCCAGCAGCTTCGGCCGCCTCCTGGGCATCAGCCTCATCTTCGTCCAGCACCAGGTACGTCACCTGCGGATCCAGCTCCTCAGCATTGTACTCTTCGCTCGCCGGATCGATCAGCCGCATGCCATCGTCGGCCAGAGGATCCGGGCCCAGCAGCAGCGGTCGGCCGGCGCAGAACAGCTTTGCCAGCCACTCTGCGGTGGCGTAGGCCACGCCGACATGGACCACCGCCCCGAACCGGTTGGCCAGCCGAAGCCTCTGACACGGCCCGGCTACCACGTCCATCCCCACCACACCCATGTCCTCCATACTTGCTGTCATACTGTACTTGGTTGGAGTCACGTGGTTGGGTGTGGATCTGGTGTCGGCTGCGCGTCCGTGCCCTTCCCTCCAACTCTTGCGACTTGCTTCCACCCCCCCCCTCCCCCCACTCGTCAGCCCTGGCCTTTCAATCCAGCTGTGCACATATGTTCATTCTCTTACCCCCCACCATCACTTGCTCTCCGTCCAGCCGACTTGCAACCCTGCACCCGGCTCGTGCCAAGTCTTCTTGACAAAGACCCGGTAGGCAGGGATGCCGATGGCGACGGCCACCACTACGATCGAGTACGCGCCGAGTGCCATAAAGACGGTGACCACAAACGAGGCTTGCTCATCGGCGACAGCAAGGAGATCGGCAACCAGCGCCGTAACGTACGCCATCAACAACACCGCATGGGCAGTCATGTCCATCCGCGTCACCAGCGGCGAGACGTACGGCGACATCTCATAGGCCGCAAAGATCGACGCCAGGAACGTGGTGACAAGCACCACATGCCGGTAGATCTCGGTCGCAGAGCCAAAAGCCACCACTACAGCGTAGAGGAACCGCCGCAGGACAAAAATGACGGCAAAGTACCGCGCCCGTGCCTTGAAGGAGTCGAACCAGAATGGGAACGAGGTCGAGATCCACGCCACGGGCTCGGCCGCCAGTTCGCCGTAGATCACCACCGCAACCATGACCAGCATCGGCAGGACTACGTACACCACCATCGGAACCACCTTTTCCGCCACCGTCAGCGTCGAGCACTCGAGGTGCGGGTAGTTCTTAAAGTACGAGATCTTCGACACCGGGTCCTCCTCGCAGTTGAACACGTCGAGGATGTAGGTGGCGAGCGGGAGGAAGAAAAAGTTGGCGACAAGCCCGATAGCCCACACCACATGACCCATGTACACCTCGCCGGTCCTCATCAGCCTCTGCTGCAGCCCATCGTTGGACTCGGCCTGCTCCGACTCGCACGACGAGTCGCCTTCGCTCGACCCGGACGCTCCCGTCGCCCACGTGTAGTCGGAGTCGTCGTCGTCACCTGCGTCCGACCCGCTGCTTGACGACGCAGACGGAAACTTGATCACAAACTTGACGGTGAAAACCAAAAGGAGGACCGTCATGATGATCGGCGGAAGACAGACCATGGCCCGGAATCGGGCCTCGAAGCTCTCAAACTCGGAGATGCACTCGAGCCCGATGCCCTCGGACGACGGTTGTGAGAACTGGAAGATCGCCAAGATAGGCAGGATTGACGAAGGCAGCAAGAGATCGGCAACAACAATGGTAAGCGTCTGGAAGAACGAAATCACAATCTGGAAGAGCTGCTGGACGTAGCGCAGGAAGGCCTTGCGCCGGAGCTTGGCCGGCGCGCTCTCGCCGTCGCTACAGTCGCTACCCGATGCGGACGACTGCGACACCGTCGAAGTATCGGAGCTTGCGCTCAACTGCTCCTCGGTCTGGCGCGAAGAGCACCGCCCGCCCTGGAAGATCCGCTCCCACTTGCGGATCTCCTCGGGCACGACGTCGCGTAGGATCGAGGCGCCGCCGACTGCTGCGAGGACGATGACGACGAAAAAGATGAAAACCGACGGCCACACCCCAGTCGACTGCGAGCACTTGACGCACTCGCCGTCCCGCAGAAAGAAATCGTCCTCGCAGTCGGCGCAGAGACGACCGCGATGGCCCTCCTTGCACTGGAACGAGGTCACAGTAGCGCCGCTGGCGTCGGTCGTCTGGACAACCTCACACGGGTTTGACGCACTCGTGGCCTTCATGGCTCCAAACTCGCATGCCACAAAGGCATTAGCCACCGTCGTGCTCAGCGTCGCGCTCGCGTTGAACTGAGTCAGCGACCGCATCGCCCGTGTCTGCGCTGGCGTCGGTGCCGGTGTCGGCTTGGTCACCGCTGCAAACGGGTTGTCAATCTCGAACCTGGCCAGCGAGGGAAAGTAGCCAGGATTGGGGATCATGACCGGAACCGCCGTCGACGGATAGCCGAGGCACCTGGCGTTGGCAAGACAGGCGGCACACGAGTCGAGCCCGCCGCGGGTGGTGTTGTAGAACTCGTCACGGCAGCGGCATGCCAGATACCGATGATACGAGGGGTCGACCTTGAGCTCGACGCCCGAGCTCCCGATCCACTGTGGACACGCGCCACCGGAGAGAGTAACCACGTCGGCGGCGCTAAAGTCGGGCGAGACAAACGTGGGCATGAACGGGCCCGGCCCGCGCTTGGCCTCCATCCCCGGGTTGTTCCGCAAATCGAGCAGCTTGAGCGACGGCAGCTCGCCAACGAGCTGTGGCACGTCGCCGACAAGCGAGTTGTTGGAGAGGTCGAGCGTGACGAGCGAGCCCAGTTCAAACACGTCAGTTGCGGTGATGAGGAGCGGGCCACCGATGTTGTTGTCGCTCAGATCGACGCTCTTCACGCGGACAAACGCACCACTAATGCGCGAAAAGGCAAAGCCCGGGCCGAGCGCGGCACCGTTGTTGCTCAGATCGAGCTCGGTCAACTCTCCCGGCATGCGGTCGAGGACTGTTCCGAGGTCATCGAGGTTGTTCGATGAAATGTCAAGGACCTGGAGCGTAGTGGCCTTGTTCTTGAACCCAGGCTCGACCGCGCTGTAGCTGTTGCCAGCGAGACGAAGAGTAAAAATTGCGGTGGCTCCAGTAAGCGGCAGCGTGAGCGTGCCGCTAAACGAGTTCCGCGACAGGTCGAGTGTGACAAGCTCGACAAAGGTATCCAGCGACGGTATGGCGGTGAGCGAGTTGTCGGCGGCGTACAGCTCCTTGATCTCAGACTTGATGACCGCCGGCGGCGGCGATGCCATGCCTGTAAAGGCGTTGCCGGAAATCACTAACTTGAGAAGCGTCGACGAGTAGAGGACCGACGCCGGGACAGTGCCCTCGAGCGCATTGTTGGAGAGCTCGAGTAAGGAGATGTTGGTCATGGGCAAGAGAAAGTTAGGCGGAATGGTCCCGGTCAGGTTGGTTCCCGAAAGACTTAGCGTCTGGAGGCCGATGTACGCCGGATCTAAGGTCAGCATGCCCCCCAGCGGGTTGTCGTTGAGAATGAGCCGCAGGAGCTTGCCGGTCGATGGAAGTGGGATACTTTGCACCGGGCCGTCAAAGGCATTGTACGAGAGGTCAAGGAAGACGAGTTCGTCGAGGACGTCCAGCGTTCCAGGTTCGATGCGGCCGCGCATGTAGTTGCGCTGCAGCTCGAGGCCGATAAGCGAGCGTCGCCAAGCGGCCGGAAACGAAGGAATCGAGCCGCCGATGCGACCATCCGCGAGATCAAGGTACGACGGCGCAGTGAGCGACGTGAGCGCCGCCGGAAGTTGCGCCGCCACCAGGTCGAGCGAGCTGAGCATGAGCATGTCGACGTAGCCATCGGCCGTGCAAACGACGCCGTACCAGTTGTTGCGGCACGGATCCGAGGACGCGGTGTTGACTTGCCATGGGATGCCGTTCCGCGACGCCGCCGGCTGCCGCCACCCACTGCCACCAGTCCCGCGGTAGAGCGCAACAAGGGCATCACGCTCGGACGCTACCATTGGCGCCTGCCCGACCGTCACCGTCACTACGCCAGGGGCAGACTTGTAGGGATCAAGTTCCGACGTGAGCTGATCCGGGTTGCGCATAATATACGCAGCAAAGTCGCTCGGGAGCGAGTTGACAAAGGCGCTGGCGCCGGCGATCGACTTGCGATGCTTCGACGGGGCGTAGATGGCGGGAAAGCCGAGGATCTTTGGATTGACAAGCATGCCTTTGCCGCCCCACTTGGCCACGAGCGCAGCCAGTCGACCAGGATCACATGTGACCGAGACGATGCCGCCCGGCACAATGGCAATCTTGCCGTTAAAGTTGGACGGCGCATCGGGCATGAGACCACAAGGATCCTCAGTCAGCACAAAGCCCTCGATGTCGACCGCAGTGCTCGGCGGCGTCGAGAACTGAAAAGCAGTCACTTGCGACGCCACATGCCTCACACCAAGCGTTTTGTCCGGCGCCGAGCCGTCGGTGGTTGAGAGCTTCACAGTAATGCCGCGCGCCAGGGGGTCCTGTCCGGCCACAAGAGATGCAAGAGCAGCCAAGAGGGCAACCGTAGCCACTACTAGCGAGAACCGTCTCTTCGCAAGTAGCATGGAATGCATGTGAGACAGGTGTGTCTCGCCCTTGCCCTACCCCCCCACGCCCTGCCTGGCTGTGCTACCTGGACGGTTGCCAACAGGTGGAAGTCGCGCATGGATAGTGTTGGGAAAAATACTATTTTTTTCGCCCTCTCCTCGCCCGCCCGCCAACTGTTCTTCGTCCCCTTGCACCACGCCCGTGTCTGTTCAACAAGCACTCTTGCGGCACGTAGCGATTGTAACAGCTGCTATGTGTGCGCACGAGGAGGGGGGCAAGGGGACGAGACGGTGAGGTAGTGTACATGTTTAGCAAAATCAATTGTGGTCTCTTTGTTGTTTTGTTCCGTTGGTGAGTATGTGTGTCTTGTATGTGGTCAGCCTGAGAACACTTGGTCGCTGAGCGAGAGTTCTCCGAGTGCCCTTCCATGCGATGTGGTCCGTACCAAACCACCTGCCACCAACACAAGTCGGCGACCGCCAGCAGCAGCCCAGCCGACACCCGACCCACCCCCCCCCCCCCCCCTCTCTCTCTTCTATATATATATATATATATATATTTATCTATATATATATCTATATATTTTGGGGTGTATGTGTATATATATAAAAA